TTCCTTTATAGAAGGCTGGGGACTAGCTTTCTTTTGCCTTTTTTCTTTTCTTTTTTGGTAAGGCAGTCGGGGTTAAGTGACTTGCCCAGGGTCACACAGCTAGTAAGTGTCATGTGTCTGAGGCTGGATTTGAACTCAGGTCCTCCTGACTCCAAGGCCCAAGCTCTATCCACTGCGTCACCTAGCTGCCCCAGCTTTCTTTTTCTTATTGCTATCCCCAGCTCTTAGCAGTGTGCCTGGCACATGATAGGCACAATAATTAATGAATATTTATTGACTTGAATTAAATTATTTCTCCTTATCTCTAGCCCTGAATTCTTCTTGATCCAGGGACTCAGCATATTTCCGGAAATCTAAAATCTGTCAATGATGCAACTGGTGACACAGGGGATTGAGTGCCAGACCTAGAGTCAGGAAGACCTGAGTTCAGATACAGACTTAAACACTTATTATCTTTGTTATCTTGGGCAAGCACTTAACCTCTGTTTACCTCAGTTTCCTCATATGTAAAAACATCTGTCTCTCTGGATTGTTGTGAGGACCAAATAATACAATTTTTGTAGAAAGCTTTTGGTGCGATGCCTCGCACCTTGTAAGAGTTTTATAAATATTTATTTCCTTCATTGGTAGAGGAATATTCCTCACCAAGGAATTCCCATTACCATTGAAGTCCCGGGTCTAATACCTATCCCTGTCCCCAAGTGCTTAGCACAATGCCTGGCACATAGTAGGCACTTAAAATGCTGGTTGCCTGACTGATTATCCCTATCTCTATTTCCTTTTTTTAATAGCAGGATTAGTCATGATTCTCTTACTTTTCTCTCTTCCCTTTCTATCTCTTTCTGAATTAAGTTGTTTCATGGACACATGGAAGTAGATAGAAGGGCCTGTCAGGTAGTGAGCATCACAGTCTACTTCTCCTATCTGTGAAAGTGTAAGAGAAAACTTGCCAAAGAGCAGGTCACTCACTCCCTGGGCTAGGTTTTGTACTAAAGTTGTTTCTGACTCCAAATAACAGTATTCTTTTCCCTGATCAGACTGGGCTCTTTGAATATCAAAATCTGTCTTATGAGAGCCTGTACGTTTCCTTACCTTCCAAGCAGTAACTTAGAATATGCTGTTTCAAGTCATGTGCAATTAATTATTTCTTTGTCCAACCTTGCTTTAAATCAACATTGAGATGGTGCGGTGGCAACAAGTCTGGGTTAGCTTGAGAACCTCCAGTTCTTGTGTGAGCTCCAACCCTGGGGTCTGTGTGACCTTGGGCAAGCTCTTTCCCTTCTCTGGGCCTTAATTTCCTTTACTGAAACAACAGGATTTGACTAGATGATCCCCTATGAGCTTTTGGGGCACATTTCATAATTGTATGAACCTTTGTTGAAGCCTTTAAAAGCACTTCCCACCCAAAGAACTACTCCAAGAAATAGCTGTTTTTGTAAATATGAACTGACCCTGAAATCAGGGCATGCCAGACTTTCTTGTATAACAAAGTACTGTAGATTTGGGCTTGTATATGAACTTGAGGAGTATATGGGCCTGCCTGCCTGCCATAGGTGGAATGTTTGGTTAGTGTGGGTGTCAGTATTATAAACTAATGCAAGCAACACGTGTCTCCTAGGTACGCAGCAGGATGTTATTTCTTTATTACTTGTTTACAAAAATAATAGTAGGAATTTGGTTACTACAGAAATGAACTTATTTCATTCTGTTTTCCTTGTATGGTGGCCAGGAAGAAATGCATAGTTGCCCCACAGCAGGTTAAACAATGCAGATTCCTTTCAATGAAGTGCCCCCACTTTCTTACCACCAAGAGGTCTTTGTGCATTAAGTGTGACGCTGCCCCTCTCCTCCCTCCCATCAGCCCTTATGGTTATTGAATGGCCTGGTGGAGGTGGAGAGACTTGTTTTTCCTTGCCTAATGGTTTCATCAGGAGCCTAATTCTCTGAGGGAGAATTAGGCCATTAACTTCAAATTCCCAGACAAATGGGTTAGCTTAAGATAGGAATTTAAAATAGCGATTGGAAGCTTTAAAAATGAAGTAATTCAGAAGCTTTAGCAAGAACTGATAGATTGGACTCCACAGTGGTCTACGGGAAGCAGCCTTAGACTTGAAGTCAGAAGGACAACTGTTATTTACTACTTCTTTGGCCTTGGTCAAGTTATTCCCCGCTCTGGGCTTTATGAATGCATGAATGAATGAATGAGCATATATTAAGGGCTTACAGTGAGTTAAGTACATGGAGGCTGTGAATACAAATGCTACCATGTGCTTTTCTCAGTCACTATGTGGCCAGCAGAGATCCTTATATATGGTTTAATGGCCTTGTTTCTATTTGAGTTTGACATCTCTATACAATATTTTGTGCCTTTATGTAGTGTAACAGTTATACTTTAATTTCTGTACTGATATAGATTATGGTCCTTCATGATTTAGTTAGGTGATCTTTAGGGGGTATCATGACTAAGAAATTCATTACCCATTGGCCAAAGGTTTTATGATAAGTGGTGCTTATTTTTGGTCAAGAAATATGCAGAGCTCATTTGCCTGGACCTTACAGACAACCTCAGCTTAGTAGGAATTATCCGTTTGCACTCTTTTGGCAAAGCCTTTGCAAGTCCAGGATTACTCTTACATATTAAGGATTCACAGTGGAATTTTAGGGAAATAGAGTAACTATAAATTTTCATTTACTTTTTCATGATTCTGGCAGTTTCGGGGAACTCATAGTTCCTCTTCTACCAGTGCTGAACATCAGTTCTTCTGTAACTTATAGTCTGTAAGTGACGTGGAAGTACCAGTAGCAGGACTTGAGCCTAGGTCTTCTTGACCTCCAGTTTGGCCTTTGAACCACTTTGCCCCATGCCATTCTCCTTTTCCTTCTACCTCTTCTCTCCTCTCTCCTCTCTCCCCTTTCTCGATCTTGTTACCCTTCCTTCTCCCCACCTTCTTCACTCCCTCCTGCCCTACTGCCCCCTCTTCTCTCACTCTTCTTCCTTCTTCTTACTTTCTCTTTCCGTCTTCATCCTTCTCCCTCCCTTCCCATACCTCTCCTCCCTTCTGCCCCACTGCCTCCTCCCCCCTTTTTCTTCCCTCCTGAAAGCATCTTTGGGACAGTTATCTTTGGAGATAATGGGAATAATATACCTCATTTTGTTCCAATATTAATTTTTTCCCCTCTAGGGCCTTATTTTTTAAAAATTTATATTTCACATGTTTTTAGAGATCATTAGTTTTTGCCATGGTGACATCACATTATTAAGTTTTAAGAATATGTCTGTATGGTTGGGAGCAACAGTTTTAAGATAATGGCATGGTTCCAGTACAGATTCATTTGTTGAATTCTCAATAATATTCTAAAGGGGTTACTTTTGTAGTGTGGAGCTTTGTTGTCTGTTTATAAAGGATAGTGAGCTTCTTTTGTTATATAATTCTGAATATTTGATTATGTCTTTCTAAGCATTTAGTAAGGATTGATTTTTTTCTAGCCTTCAATGATGTCTTGTAAATCTGTGTTGCTGTTCTTTTCATGCATAGTCTAAACTTGATCAATAAGTCCAGGATCCTTACTGTTAACTTTTCCATAATTTCTGGTGGCATTGACCTGATTCTAAATTGCTATTATAAACTTTTCTCTCTTTTTTTTTTTTTCAGGACACAGTATCCACACGACTAAGTCATTTGTTGGTTGAGTTTATGTAGATGTTATTTTTATTATGTCATTAAAATACATAATAAAATAAAATTTATAATTTTTACGAATTTTTAATAATTTGTTTTGTACAGTAATAAAACCCTGTGAAGAGAGTAGTGCAAATATTTTTTCCCATTTTATAGATAAGGAAACTGAGGCTCAGAGATTAATGGCATCATCTCCCCGCCCCTCCCCTCCCCCAAAAAAAGGTAGTATCAGAGGTGAGATTTTCCCTCTGGCCTATCGGCAACAAATGACAATGCCACATCCGGGCAATCGGCTTTACTTCCTGGGGTGTCAGTGTCATTATCTGGAAAAATCTCTGAGCTAAAGGGGATTGGACTAGAACATCTCTTAAATTCCCTTACAGCACTAATATTCTATCTTGTGCTCCTTGACCCGTAAGTTAGATTTTAAAGAGGGGAATCTTTCTTTCCTAATGGAGTTCTACAAGTCAGCAAGCCTTTCTTAATATATTACTATATGCTAGGCTAGGCACTGTGGTGAGCATTGAAGAAAGAAAGGAAGAAAAAAGCCCCCGCCAGGAGAAGTTCACAGTCTCGAGGGGGAAACACCATGCCCAAAACGCATACAACAAGACACATACGGGATAAATCGGGGACTATATTAGCGGGAAGGCACTAAGATTAAGGAGGACTGGGAAAAACTTCTCGTAGAAACTGAGACCTAAAGGAATCCAAGGAAGGCAGGAGGTGGAGATAAGGCCAGAGAGTCACAGATTTTGCTGTTGGCTAAAGGGTCAGCACTACAAAGTATATCATCCTTATTTGTTGGTTTTCACGCTCTCCGTTTCTGATGCTTAACTTCCTTGTCAAAATCAAAAGGTCGTAGGGCCGTAGTCTTCAGAGTTAAGGTAGACATTAGAAGTTTTCCAGTCCAGAGCTCTTACTTTACAGATGAGGGAGCTGAGGCTGACATGGATTAAATGACTTGTTCAAGGTCACGTGACTAGTAAGCAGCAGAGCAGGGATTGTAACCTAGGGCTTTTTTACTTTAAACTTAAAAGGGATGGGAAAAGACAGAATGACATATAGGGAAGATGGAAGCAGGGACAGATTACAGAATGAATATAAAAACATGGCATGGTCACGTGAAAAATACTGTCAGGGGTGATAAAACTCAGCACAAGCCAAGGCTGGCAAGATGTGCTAGGAATAACATTTGTTTTGTGTAGATACCCACTCTTCCCACAATTAGTTGATGTAGTTCTGGAGATACTAGCGATAGCAGTAAGATAGGAGAGAAATCAAAGGCATAAAGATAATTAAAGAGGAGATAAAACTCACCCTGTTTGATGATGATATGGTGGTTTACTTGGAATATTCTAGAGAATCAGCAAAGATACCTTTGGGAACAATTCAGAGCTCCATCAATGTCGCAGACCACAAGGTAAGCTCTCAACAGTCAACTGCACTAGGAGGCAGAGCCACGATCAGGAAGCAGTAGGGGGGTACAGTGAACAGTCTTTCAGCTCCTCCAGACAGTTCTAGAAAACACACCAGGCGGAATTCTGGGGAAATCCCAGTAAGAGTTACATTACAAGGAGTCATTTTTTCCAGCCCAGATTGGTACAGGGAGGCAGACAGAGAGGCCTTCAGATGATGGGGACTGACTGGGAGCATATCAGTCAGAGGATTTGACCCCAGAGAGATACTGTGAACTGTGGCAGGAAGACCCCAAAGCCAGTATAGAGAGACTTAACCTTGTTCTCAGTGCAGGAATAGTTGCCGACTGGCAGTTTTCTCACTCACTACTCAGTTCTGAATCCCAGTTCCAGGGCAGAATGGGAGAAGGACCTGCCTCTGAGTAGGTGAGGAACACTGGCAAGCCCTTGGTTGCACCTTGAGGGAGGTGCAAGTCCAGAAGCAAATAGCAGCTTTGTGGCTGAGACTCTAGGAGCAGAGCGAGGCTTCAGTTCCAGCCTCCAGACCAAAGGGAAACCTGTAGTTCTGCCCCTCTGAGCCAGCGAAGCTTCCTGGCTGGCTGATAGTAGCCGAGTCTAGCAGCAGTTCAGTGTTGCTCAGACTCAGACCCAAACTCAGGCCAGGGGAGCAGCAATCAGACTTTGCTCTGGGTCAGAACATTTGGGAACATTGATAGCTTGTAGGATGCCTGCCTGTCCTTGAGATGCTAGAGTAATGCTGTACTCAGCGCTCCTCCAGAAGCGTGCAGAGCTTGGCTCTGACATCAAGTTCAGAGTCAGGAAGTGGGCTGGAAGAATGAGCCAACGAAATAAAGAACCCCGCCGTAAAAACCTGGGATGATGACAGGGGTGCTCAAGAAGACATGACTCCAGAAGAAGAGAAGGACTCTAGAGCGTATGCAAGCAGACCCTCAAAGAAAAGTACAGCTTGGGCATACAATCCGACCAAAAGAAATCAGAGTTATGGACATACGAGTTAGAAAGAGAATTAACAGTTTGGCACAAGAGGCGCAAAACCTTACGCAAGCAACCAACTCCCAGAAAATTAGAATGGGTCGAATAGAAATCAGTGACTCCATGAGACAACAAGAAATATTAAAGAACAGTGTCAAATAGACTAACCCCTTTTCGTTTTTAGACAAGGTTACTAAACTGATAGGTGAGGAGAATGTTATAAATATAATTTACCTTTATTTGTGTCCCCAGTGCCTAGCATAGTGTCTGGAATATAGTAGGTACTTAATAAATGCTCATTGATTAATTGCTTTTTAACAGTTCAGTTGATAAAATATCTTGTCCTTGTGGAAAATCTGGAGAGACATAGGCTGGATCATAAGGAAGGAGAGGAAACAAGCATTTGTTAAGTACCTACAATGTACTGGACAGTTTGCTTTGCAAATATCTCATTTGATTCTCACCACAACCTGAGGAGGTAGGTGCTCTTATCACCTCTTTTTATAGTTGAGGACATGAGACAAACAGTACTTAAGTGACTTGCCCAGGGTCATGTAACTAGTGAATGTCCGAGGCTGGATTTTGAGCCCCAGCATTCTATCCACTGCACTACCTACTGTGATAATACAAGTAGGCGGATTTGAAACTTGTTGATTGGCAGGAATCAGAAGCGTTGGGAGTTCATTGTCATTGCTGGCAGATCTCCCCTGAAGTGCCCCCTGGGTTTTTGTTTTGTCCTGGGGCAGTTTTCCATTTTTATCGGTGGTTTGGATAGTGGCCTAGATGGTGCCCTCGTCGAATATGCAGATGCAGCAAAGCTGGGAGAGGCAGCCGACGAGCTAGACAATGGATCCAAAAAGATTACGCAAGTCTGCAGTAAGCATAAATGTAAAGTCTTACACTTGGGCACGATAAAATTAGTTTCAAAGTTACAAAATGGGGAACATGGTTAGGTTGTAGGTATAGTGAACAAGATCAGTTAATCAGCAATCTGTTCGCCCTTCCTATGTGCCACTCCCTGTTTGAGGCACTGGTGCTACAAAGAATGAAATGCTTCCTGATCTGAAGGAGTTTGTGTGCAAATTGGAGGGACATACATAAGTGTATAACAAATACATACAAAGCCAAGAAACTCCCTCTGTTAGCATGTAATGGCATCAGGAGCGGCATCACAAAGAACGGCACAATTTGAGCTTTATGGACCAGGAATCCCACAGAGAGGTGGATGGATAGATAGAGAAAACATGTGCTAAGGCTTACTGTGTTCCAGTCACTGTGCTCCACGTATTTCATTTAACTATTCGGAATCTTAACTATTCAGAATTCTTACCTTGTTTCCGATTGAAATTTGTTATGAATCCCAAGTCCTGGTAGCAGTTGGTACACCTTTACCTTATTGTTCTCGTGTTTCGCCACTGCTTTGTTTACCATCTGTCATCCTGAGGATCCTCTTCTGACCATCTCTGCTCTTTAATCTCCCATTTACTGTCTTTCAAATAAGGCTAGGGACTAGATGTTTGATTTTCCTAGTGTTGGAAACCCCTAGATGAGGAGATTTCCTTTATCAATGCAGGACAGCACCTTCTTTCCAATGGACAGTTCTAGACAGTTGTCTAGAGCTCTGTGGCCCAGGGTGACACAGACTATCTATATATGTCAGAGGTTAAGACCTGAAAAAAAAAATCATGTTTAATCGTGTGGTTTCCAGACTTTTAGGGTTGACCTCCAGCATTTTCCAGATTGATTCTTGCCTTAGGCCAAAGACTCTATCTAACAAGGTCTATGGTATTTATTCCTAGCAGTTACCTACCTCCAAGGCATTGTGGGAGGATAACATTTCATTATTTCTTTTCCTGGATATGGATCAGTTTTGCCATCAATCAGAGTTTGGCATTCTTTTAATGTCATTTTCGTTTACATTGCTGTAGTTTATTCTTTTGATTATGATTATTTTTCTCTACATCATTTCATACAGATCTTTTCAGATAGCTCCAAATTGCCCATACTTGATACTTCTCACTGAACAATGATATTCCATTACATTTATCTACTATAGGTTTTTTAAAAAAAATTCTTTTCTAGTTGGTAGACATCCATAGTATTTCTTTAGTATTACAGAGTGCTTTTGTGAATATTTTGGCATTAAGTTGGACTTTTTTCCATCTCTCATTTTCTTATAGTATATGCACAGTATAGAGAACTTTCTAAGGCAGAAAGAAATTAAAATTGGAAGAGAAACTTCAAAAGATTAGATTACAGTCCAGGGGTTCTTAACTTTTTTTTTTTGTCATAGACTCCTTTGGCAATTTGATGGACATCTCAGAATAAGGTTTTCAAATACATAAAATAAATACGTAAAATACAAACGATTACAAAGGAAACCAATTTAAGTTCATGGAACTTTTGCTTAAGAGGGAAAAAAGGAAGCTTGTTTCAGAGCTGTAGAAAGTAAGAGTAAACTTGGACCTTAAAATATGAAACAATTTCAGAGCTGGAAGAACCTTTAGAACATGAGGGCACATGGTGTAGTGGAAACATTAGAGTCAAGAGACATGGGTTAGAATTCCTGTTGGACACTTGCTAGCTGTGTGACCATTGGGAAGTCTCATAATGTCTCTGGCTCTGTTTCCTCAAATGCAGAAGGGGGATAATCATGCACATTCCCTATTTCACACGATTGTTGTGGGGAGAGAACATTGGAAACCTAATTTTTGTGTTTTCTGGATTTGTTTTTTGGTCTTTGTATCCTCAGTTCTTTGAACATTACTGAGGACATGGTATGTGCTTAAGAAATAGTTATTGATTGGTATTATTACCATAGGATATAGAACGTCAGGATGCTAGAACATAAGCAGAATGTCAGAGGTGTTCTAAAGCCCATTCCAGCTCTGGAGTGGATCTTAGAACAGAGAATTTCAGAATTATGAGAGACCTTAGAATATTGGATGTTGGAACTAGAAAGGAATTTTGTTACCATGCGGTGCAAGCCCTCATTTTGCACGGGGTGTAATTCAGGCCTAGAGTGAAGAGCCCAGAGTCACATAGTGATGTTATGGTTAAGCCACAGATGGAAATAGGCCAATTTGCCTAGCATATAGAATGTGAATGAAAAAGAGTGCATAATTGACTTGGAAAAAGTGGAGTCAAGCCACTGTCATAATGGAGGCAGTTGAGAGCCACTGCAGATTATTGATCAGGGGAGTGACATAGTCAAACCTGTACTTAAGGAATGTTCATTTGGTAGCGATGTAGAAGATGCATGTGGAGAGACCAGTGAGGAAGTTATTGTTGAAGAGGGAATGAGGGCTTGGAGGATGTCTGAATAAAGAAAAGCATCAAACTTAAAAAGTTCAAGACAGCTAGTGCTTTCTAGTTGATTATCTTTCTTCCCAAATCCATCCCTCTTCCATTAGTATTGATTTTGCCACCAGCCTTCTAGTCACTTAGGTTCACAATCTTGTAAAAGTGAATCAGAAATGGTATTGATATTGGACAGCACATTAGAGGGGCTTGGCAGAAACATTAGCAATCTGAGTATTTGATTCCTAGTTTTTGGAGTTTTCTCTGTTGAAATTGCACCATGAGATAGTAACTTGGATTATTATTTTAATAGTTGTCTGTTTTGATATTATGTGTTAAATTCCTATAATTATTTAGTTGCAAGCTTGCAAAACATTTATATTTTGCTGTGGTTGCCACGTGTCTACTGCTGCCCTACAGAGGCAAGAAATTATGAGATCTCTGTGGTATCCACACCAATATCCAGTCTCAGAATTCAATCTCAAGAAGCCAGTCTTACCGCCATCACTGTTGCCAACTGTTGTTAGGGAGCAATAGATGGACGAAGTTGGCTAAAACGTAGAGATCGTGAAAGGAAGTAAAGTCAAATAAGTCTGGAATGGTTTGCTACAATCAGATGAGTTGCAAGCTCAGTACAAATTAGCATTGTGATCTTGGGCTACATGGCCATAGTCCTGCTATCTTCATCCCTAATCAGATCACATCGGGAGTATTGTGTT